TGTTCATGAGAACAAAAGCTACTGTCATCTTTGAAAGGCCATGAGATTGGGGGAGATCCCCCAAGACTGCAGAAAGGCAAATCTTATATTCATCTGCAAGAAAGACAGTACAGAGAACTATGAGCTGATCAGCCTCACTCCTTGCACCTTCATGAGGAAGCCATTTGTAGGCATAAAAAGGTGGTGACTGGGGATAGCCAGCTTGGGATCTACCAAGGATAAATCATGCCTGACCAATTGGCTTGTCCTCTGAGACATAATAATGAGATCTGAAGGTGAAGGGAGAGTGTTGGATATCATCTGCCATGGACTTAAGGGGACCTAATGGAAGCCTTTATAGACCTAAGAGGAGATAGAGCCGGTCTTTCTACTCATGTGGACTGCAGGGGAACAAGAGACAGCAGAATTTGCAGCTTCCAGTTCAAAGTAAGGAAATTAGGACAGTCAGGCATTGAGACAGGTGCCCCAGAAGGTTTGTCACATTCCTGTCTTTAGAGGTTTTCAAGATCCAGCTGAACAAAGCGCTGGGCAAGCTGGTCTGAATGCAGTGTTGACTTAGTTTTGACAGATTGCACAGGGTGACCACTTGGGTTTCCTTCCAATCTGAATGATTCTGTGATTCCTAAATAATGTACTGTTTATGAGAAAATAGCAAATACAGGGTACTAGTTCAGTCTTAGAAATTTTGGATAAACACGTTACTGTGATACTGATTGAACTATTAAAAGTACGGTATAAAATACAGTAAAATAGAATGTAAAATGAAGGATAGCAGTTATAGTAACTCCATAGCAGATTTTTGCCCAGTCTTCTAAAAGTCGTTGAGAAGATGTCAAATAAATAAGAGCTGTCTAATACAGTTGTTCTGATTAATACAGTTGTCTAGACTACTACAGTGACATGTGAAATTAATTATGGTGATAAGTGAAATTAATTATTAATGAACACAGTTCAGCGCACTGGGAGAAATTTTGTGCTACTCATTTATTACTGGGTTTTAAGTTAACTGCTACAGATGTTGGAGGTAGCTGAAGAAATGTGTGTGAAGGTCCTTTTAATCTTCAGTGTCAGAGAAAAATAAAAGTATTGCTGAGTTTATAAAGAAGGGTTTTATAATAGCATTGCAATGTAAATTGAAGGTGTGCACTTCCTTGGAAAAATATCTTAAATTGTACACCTGTCTCAGAAATAGGAGTTCAGAAATAGATGGATGAAAATATGGTCATATCTGAAAATGTAATGTAAGTTGATGCATTTAACTGGAAGTTATGATAAATAAGATAGTACATGTTTAGGCATGCAAAATAAGAGCTGTCAAACAAATGAAATGAAAGGGACTCTTACACCCTGGAAATCTAACAAGTGTATTAAATTGGAAGGCCGCATATTTGCATAGTGCTCAATCAAGCTTGTGTGTATTTGGCAGAAGAAAACAGTAGGCTCAAGAAATGAGAGACTTAAAAAATTCATAGATGTTTTAAGAGTGACAACCCACTAATTAACATTTTTCCCCCACAGGTATTTAAACCCTGTAGAGTAGGTCTCATTGGGAGGTTTCTCCATGATTGTCCGTTGTAGGATTTTTAATATTATCTCAGATACTTCAGAGGGTTTTGTTACTTTATATTTGGTCTTTTCTATCCATCATCACAAAGTTCTTACACAATAGTGAAGAAATGTCAGACACCTAAGTTAAGAAAGATCATAGAATCATAGAATGGTTTGGGTTGGAAAGGACCTTAAGACCATCTAGTTCCAATCCCCCTGCCATGGGCAGGGACACCTCACACTAAACCATGTTGCCCAAGGCTCTGTCCAACCTGGCCTTGAACACTGCCAGGGATGGAGCATTTACCACTTCTTGGGGCAGCCTGTTCCAGTGCCTCACCATCCTCACAGTAAAGAACTTCTTCCGTATATATAATCTAAACTTCCCCTGTTGAAGTTTGAAGCCATTACCCCTTGTCCTATCACTACAGTCCCTGATGAAGAGTCCCTCTCCAGCATCCTTGCAGGCACCCTTCAGATACTGGAAGGCTGCTATGAGGTCCCCATGCAGCCTTCTCTTAATGGGTTAATGCTTAGTTGCAAGAGAGTGCACTTGTGTTCCTGTCTCTGCTCCACGAGTTGCCTTCGTGTTCCCTTCAGTTACTGCTTTGTGCAAAACCACTTCTCTGGGCTGAAGGATTATAACACAGCTCACTAATCTTAGAGCTGTGTTATCCAACTGCTACACAAAAGACATCATCCTACTCACTTTTTTTCCTATTTTTCCTAAGCAACATTTGAATTATCTTCTATACAAAGATTCCATTTCAACAAGAAAGTCTAGGAGTCCTTTTACACAGAATAACATATGGCATCATTGTTATAACACTGTACTCTGCTTCAAGGCTTATCAAGTTGCTATGTGCCGACTTCAGCACCAGAGGAGCAGTTTATGAATGAAAACATGAATGAATATGATTGGATCTTAGGTTTGTAAGTGTCAGACCAGTGTTCTGATCTGTAAACATGTGGAAAATGCCACTAGCAAAAGCAATAATTTGCCTTTTGGACCAGGCCAGCTATTGATATTAGCCTGATAGACAGTTGTGTCAATCAATTTGCTTTTTTTTTCAGATTATGCCAGTTTTAAGTCAACTGTTGATGTGTTCATCTTTCCATTAAATATACTTACCTTCTTTAGCTTACAATAGATTTTTATTTCAACATATATGCCTAAACAGAGCGTACTTGACCTGTTTAATAACAGCTATTTAGTAAGCCCAGTTCCCTCCCTTCTCGCAAGAAATTTCTTGTTATATGTTAGTTATAACTGCAGTAGCCTATGATGTTATAATTCACCCTTAGGAATATAGGAAGAATTGCTGCTACTTCATATGCAAGCAAAAGAAGAAATACTGAGAACCCTTCTGAAATTTGGGGTCTTTGGTTCCTTTACAATATATGTCTTTAAAAAGATAAAGGTAGAAATAAATCTGGGAAGTGTTACCTTCAGAAAGATGAAAACGGAATTAATTTGGTTATGCTTGCTCTCTAAATACTACAGGTACCCTGAACTGGCTGCTAATGACTGTTGAGGCTGCCTGTTTCTTACATACACAAGCATATATTCCTGGAAGAAGCCTCAGAAAAGAACCTGAAAGTTTTTTGGATTTTTTTTAACAAGGAATTATTCCACATTTCTGAAGTTATTGTTTTAATTCTACTATTTTCATTCAGCAGAGGGTTTAACAGAGTCCTAATTTAAGAAATGGAAGAGAGAACCTACCCACAGGACTCAGGAGCAGCCTGAAAATTTATCAGAGGTAGATGCATTAAAAAAGAGAATATGTGCTTTCCATGCATGTTGAATTCACTTATTGTAATCATCGAAGAGAGACTGAATTGTCTGGATGGGGCTCACACTACAATCTCTGCTTGGTCATTGAAAAAGCTGGGTAGCCAGTGTGTGGTACTTACTAGAAGTTCTGTGGCCACCAGAACGTGATATGACAAGTAGCAAAGATTAAGGAAGAGAGAAGAGACTCTTGGAGAGGATTCTTAGCTCTCTGCTGTGTCCATTGATAAAATCCCTGTGAAGTCTACTGTACATCAAGCTCCTTGATGCTTTCAGTCAAGTGATTCTCTGGTGTCTTGTAAAAGCTCAGCATGAGATAAAGGTTCCTGGAGACTTCTAGGCAAGTGCTGAGGGAGCAGGCTGCCACTGCTGGTGTTTTTGCCAGAGAGGTAGAAGTTCACTGCCTTGAATATCAAAAGGATTTCATAAGACAAAACCTTGGAATCTCCAGCAGAACAAGCTGTCCAGGCAGTGCTTTTGAGCAGAACTGATAAAAGCCGTTTCAAGAACATCTTTGAGATTACCGTATTAAAACAAAAGCAAGCAGGCAAACAAACAAAAACCTCTCAAAATCAAAAAACAACACCCCCCCAAAAAAACCCACAAACAACAAAAAACCCAGCAACAAACCACTGAAATGTCCTGATGTGTTTCCAATGAGATTTGAAGGGATTATTAACAATACCGCTTCTCAACCATTTTGGAAGACAACAGGAAACTTTCCTTCCCAGGTTATTTCTTAAATTATTAATTGTTAATTGACTGAGTTTGATTGATTGATTGAGTTAGAGAGCTATCTATCTTTGTAGGGACGATTTCTGATGTAAATGGACTACAGTAGCGCTTCCACAGAAAAGGCTTCCGACAGAGTGCAGGAATGTGTTGCGATGAACCAAACTTCTTTTCTTTTTTCTTTTTTCTTTTTTTTTTTTTTTTTTAATCTGACCTTTTCCTCTCTTTATTCCATTTATATTAACACTGTGGCATCTTAGAGCTCTGGATAATCATTACTTGATAGGAAAACCCAGGTTGTTACAAGGGGACTTGGGTAAAACACTGTCTGACTTACAAACTTTCTCACTGTTTCAGCTAAATTTAAAAATGGACAATATTTTTTTTCCCAGATTTTGCATAGGTATGTAAAATCATATACTAGCTGGTTTATATATCTTACCTTGTATGTTACAATGAGCTGTTCTTTTCAGAAGTTACAAAAGTTTTTTTTTCATCAAGAAAGAGATACCCCTTTGTAATTAAATGAGCAACTAGCTGAAAATCACTATGTGCAAATAATGTTAAGGGGAAGGGTAGTAACTGCTTTTCTTAAAGTCTACACTTACTTTACATGCTTTTCAATATTCTGTACTTACGGAATATCAAGAATAGGGAATATATGTACCATTTATGAAAGTATGATGAGTTTAGTTTCTGAACATCAGATATGCCAAAGAACAAGTTTGATATAATTTTGGATATAAAGCCAAATGCAAGTTCTGCAGCTCTGAGGTTCACCATCAGTCATTTTCTAATGATAATTAGTTCACCTATCATCCTTGCTGTGATTTAATATCACTTCAATTAAAAAAAAAAAATCTGTGAGATAGTTAGCCACACGCTGTTTGAGTTATGCTCTATATAAGTTGTCATTATTTTTCTTCTCCAAAGATAACACTATGGCTGCTACAGTGAACTTGGAGCTTGATCCCATTTTTCTGAAAGCCTTGGGCTTCTTGCATTCAAAGAGTAAGGACTCTGCTGAAAAGCTGAAGGCACTTCTTGATGAGTCTTTGGCCAGAGGAACTGACTCGAGCTACCGTCCGTCTCAGAAGGTATTGGTATTAGAGAACATGTGTTTTTTGTATGCCTTTTTAAAGCTGCTGCTATTCCTGGTCTATCTTCTATAGCTGAAAACTTGAAAGAGAATCAGAAATTAAGGAAAAGATAAAAGTGATTATGGAATATTCATCATTCCCCTTTTATGCAACATAATCTATTCAATTAAAGTTAATGGGAAAAAAAAACTCTCTACCTTTTTAGTGTATCAAGACCTGTAAGAGATATTCAGTACTATATTGCAGGTGTCATGATTTTGTAATAGTACTTTTTGTATTCACTTTTATATCAGTTTTAACATTTTTGTTTGTAAGCTATCACAAACACTAAGGTGAACCCCAAAATATGTATTTCTCCAGTTACAATCAGGCTGAAAGGTCTTTAAAATGCAGATTACTTCTGTCACAGATCAATATGCAACAAAACAAGATATTTACTGATAAAGCTGGATCTCTTTTCTTGAAATTCTGCTCATGAAGTCATATGAGAATGAAGAACACCAAATGGTTCAAAGCAGAAATGATTTGCAGGCTGAAACCATTGCCATTGAATGGATAAACACTATTTTTCATCTCCTGAAAATCACTAAACACCTGCTAGAGAGAATATTTGAATCTGAGATTAGTATATGGAAATAACCAAGCAGGGAGAACCTCATATTGCTACAGATTGCCATATGGATAATGAGGTAGTGTTCTCCCTTAGGATGCCTAGAAGTCAGCCTGGTATGTTCAAATGATGGTCTGTATGCTGATACATTAATAATACTTCATTTCTACATGTACGTGGTTCCAAATAACTAAAAGGCATTATTACTGTTACAGCATACATCATGCTTATACTGTTTGGTCTAACTCCTTTCTATTCAACTCCCTGAAACCTAAACTGCAGCTCCTTCTAACACAGGTCTCAAAACTCTCACGTGCCGTTTATATCAGAACTCAAAGAAGCATTAGTTTATGGTTTAAAGAGGAAGCAGGGAGCCAAATGATAGTGCAGAGGGGCTTGGAAGACAATTCTAATAACAGCTTGGCTGGTAATTGCCTGTTCTTAGGTGAGACTGAAGCTCAGGCCAGAGAAAGAAATCTTTTATTCTCCTCTTTTCAGTGTGTCTCCAGTATCAGCTGGACTGCAAAGCTCAGAAATGGGAGAAAGTGCAAGAATTCCTTTCCTTGCATTCTCAGGCTGCAGGATTAATTTATGGTTGACCATGAAATCCAAGAACAGAGTAAGGAGCACAGGATTACCACTGTCAAGCGGATGAGGAAATCCGTTTCCGACTCTGGATGCAACAGGAAGTCAGCAAACTTGGTGGAGATGGGTCTGAAGCTCAGGGCTCAGAACCTGTCCCAGTATACAGCAGAGAATTACTCCCTTCTTACCAAGCTGTGAGGAAGGGGAGGTACCTTGCTTGTGCACATTGGTGTGATTAATTAATTACTCATTTACAGACTTACTTGCTTCTTATCCTTTGCTGACGCTAATGTGTCACTAGTAAGAACTATTGGTTTCTATTGAGAGCTAAATCTATTAATCTGATAGGTGAATATGGGCTAAGATTAAGTAGAGGTCAGTGGTTTTCTCCATGAGGGAATGAAATATTGATGCCTAGTGGCATCAGATATCAACTTAAGTTTTCAGTTTATATGGAATTTTGACCTCAGAATTGTCTGAAAATTCATGTTCATTATCTCTTTGCATTTTAAAAGCAGAAAAGTTTTCCTTTTTATAATAATGTACCAAAGAGGATCTGGTTTTGGAAAAGGAGACCTTTTCCTTTGGAAGGTGAGTGAAGAGGAGGTTTTGATAATTGACTGCAGCTTAAACGTACTATTTTGTCGATGTGATATGAAAATATTTAAGAAATGTTAAATCAGTGATCAATGTTGTATGACGTGTTGTTTGTCCATCCTGTTATCTAACTAATTGCAAACTAGGAATTAACTGAAATGTAGGGTTTGCCTTCAGTTTTTGTTTCTGTTTTTAGGAAGTAGAGCAACCAAAAGTATCTGTTACCAAACCTATTTCCAGTAAGCAAGAGCCTAAAACTTCTAGTTTGCCTTCTGGCAACAACAATGGCAAGCCCACTGCATCAGAAAAGGTGAAAAAAGAAGCAGAAAAGAGGTCTGCTGATAAAGTAAGTAATTTTTCTTCGAAATAACTTGGTCAATAAACTTGAAGGTGTTTTAGACAAAAGCTCTCCTTTTTAACTAAGTCAGCAACTCATCTAATGGTGCATAGCCTGTGAGCTGTGTTATCCAGTCACGTTGCCATTTAGGCAATCCAGCAGAAGTCATAATTAGTCTGTGAATGTTTTCCCTGCTCACTGCAGGTGGGTTGGACTAGATGACCTTTAAAAGGTCCCTTCCAACCCAAACCGTCCTGAGATCCTATGTTTTAAATATCCTGGTAATCGAAGGTTACTGGTATGTTGCAAGATGAAATGTGGGATTCCCAAAACTTTTTTAGCGATGTTGAGGTAAAGTACAAAAAGTGGACTTCAGCTTCTAGTTCATAAATATTTTGAGGAAAATACATATCTAAGGAAAATGTTTTGTGTATGCTGTGTAAAGTACATCTTCTTATACTGCTAACCTAATGGTTCCAGTCTTTTTTTCATTTTAGTAATATCCATTAGCTTGTTGCATTTTCACATTCTCTGTGTGTGTGTAATAGATAAAAGGGGATTCCACTGAAGGAGCCGATACACCAAAGAAGCCCAGAGTAGAGAAGCCAGAGGCTCGTTCCTCTCCTATTACGGTTCAAACAAGCAAGGATTTGTCCATGCCTGATTTGTCTAGCTTTGAGGAAACCAGTGCTGATGACTTTGCTATGGAAATGGGATTGGCCTGCGTTGTTTGCAGGTCAGTCAACACTACTTCATTGCAATTGTCACCTTTTGTTGTTGTTGTTGTGTACTATTGAGTTAATACTTCCCGTAGTTTTTTATTCTGGAAAGCACGTAAGCACATAACCAAAATTAATAATACATTTAAGTAGCCTTCATGAGTAAGAATGGTTTCTTGAAAATGAAACCCTTAATGAGAAAACCAACTTTTCTTCTTCAGGAAAAGGCTAAGTGTCGAATAAAATAACTAGACATGATGCAAACCTATCGTGACAAATACTAGTTTTTAATTATTTGCTTTGGTTTCACAGATTATTTATATCCTTGTATGTCCTCACTGCTGCCAAAAGGAACAGTTTGGCTATCCCAGTTGTACCTCCTTCTCTGTCCTGTTTAGGGGATGTATTACCCAGAAAGGTTTGTGATCAGCTGAGTCAGCTTCTGGATCAGCTCTCCACTTGGGTTTTTCAATTAAGTTTCAGACAGCTTAGTGTGTGTAAATGCTTATGCTGGCACATGTGTGGGTGCAGGAATGGAGAGCCAGGACAGAGATGAAGGTGGGACTGGGCTTTTGGTAGCAGTATGTATTTTAGTTCAGCTTAAGTCAGTTAGGAGACTGTACTTCATAACTTTGTTCTTCAGTCATTTCTATGGTCATTCCTGTTGTACAGATACGGAGGTGTCTCCGGTGCATGGAGGATAATTGTTACAGCTAGTTATACTGTTAACCAGTTGTGGACCGATGATATTTCATGTCCCATTATTCCTTAGTGTTAGCACAACTGTTTAATTTCTTATTATAGACATTGAAGAAGGAAGAACAGTTACAACATTTGAAGTATTAAATATTCTTGCAAATTCCATTTTTGCTGTCTCCTAAAGGGGCAAAGCCATGTTCAGCAGTATGTTAAGATGCTACTAGAACAGCATGCGATTAACTTATTTGGCAGGACCGGAATAAAGACAAGTCTTGAGCTGCTGTGGATTATTAATTCTGCATCTTCCCTGGCAAAGGAAAACATACAGACATAATGAGAAATGACTGCAAAGCAAAAAAAAAAAAATGCAACTATTGTGCCTAGTGTGGCCAAGTGTTTGCTTTAAAAAGCACCAGCAAGGTGTATGGTTCCATTAGCTGTTCCATAATCAGCATATAACCAGGCAGCTGAAGGTGTTGCTTTGGGCTAGTCGTAGTCACAAATTCATAGTGCCCTTGCAAAAGATACATCTATCCTGGCTAACTAAAATAGCTCTCATTAAGCTGGTGCAAAAGGGAGAAGCACAGCAGGGAAAAAAACAACCCATTAGAGAGGGGCTGGCAACAGCCACCCACCACTCAGGATTTGTTTTCGTTTTACATGAAACCTGATGGAACTGATGTCATGTGGTTCTCGATCTCCAGCTCATGCTGGACAGGATGTTGTTCGGAGTACTCATGCTTCAGACTTCCCAAATCCAGCACACTAGTTAGACAGTATTCCACTATTTACTGCTCAGCAGCCAACATAGGGGCCGCCTTTGACATTGGCAATCTTAAAACAGATTTTTAACATCCCAGTAAATAGGAAATATAAAAGCACTTTGTTAAATAACTCAAATATGAGTAGTATTTAGAAGATTACGTCTTTTAGTAACTCAATAAATTATTCAATCAATTGTGAATAAAAACATTGTGTCCAATTGCAGAGTAGGTGAGGTTCATAGCCAAAGAGTTTACGTTTTATGTTGCTTAAGATGGCAAATTAACAGGAACCCAGCTTTGGGTTCACAAATGCAAAAAGTGCATCTGAATATTAGCTATTCGTTTTTTATAGATGTAAAAACTGGAGACATTAAATATTTCTTCAAGATTTGCCAAATGTCAAATGTATTTTTGTAGTGATTGAGAGTATCAAATGTTGATGCCTATGGTGTTTTTCTTCTTCTTTTACACCAAGTTAGGCATAAGGAGAGAGCAAGTATTAAAATAGCTCTAAGACCAGCAGATCTTAGAAAAACAAGACTCGCCAGTTACATGGCTCCTCAGTTATAAATACTACATGCAATTTGCAGGTGATAGTGAACTCTGTCTCTCAAAAAAAATCCCAAAATATGTCTTTTAAAAAGTCTGGTTTTGAAAGAACAACCTTATTTTTTATGAATACTTTGTTTATTTGTTTTCTGAAGGTAAAAAATCATTAGGTTTGTTTCTCTGTTATATAATTTTAAAATTACTCCAGTTTAACTTGTTTCTGGGCATGAAGAGTTCATGTTTTTTTAATCAGTCTGGAATTGTCCTTTGTAATTTTAAAATAAGATGAGTATCTCCCCTTGAGACTTCAGGTTGAAACATCACTGCTTTGTTCTGACCTAGTTTACTTAGGAATAAGAAACAAACGTGGCTTTTTGAAATACCCTGTGCCTAAAATAATGGTCCCTGGAATTTCAGAAAGGTTTCTCCCTCTCTTTTTAAATAACCCATTTAAAGGAGAAGTATTTCTTAAAAAATGCACTAGTATCCATACGGACAATGCCTTCAGATTTCATTTTCCTGTTACATAAAGAAATAAGAAATTACGTTTCCCCACCCATCTACAAATAGAGTTTCCATGGTTACCTGGATACCTGCTCCTTGGGGATATGAGCAAAGGCAGCTTAGCAATTAAATAGCTTGATTTGTCATCTGAAAGACAAAATCATAAGGAAAATGGTATTTGGCTGATTCACAGACATATTCCCAGTCATGTGTATATCCCTAATTTGTCATTTATACAGCATGATTACTTTCACCAGAGGCCCATGCAAAGTGAAGTCCTCATCGCCAGCTTACGTGTTTGCTTCAAGGCAGGACTGCACAGTTAATCCTTTCTATTCCATCTTTCCATGATTCTGGTATTATCTCAAATTCCAAGTGTCTGCCTGTGTAGTAGGGACCAAAAGGATAGCTACTAAAATATCTTTAAAGTACTATACAGCTTGGATGATGATGGTTTTAAATCCTGTAGTAGAAAGCACTCTTACAGCCTTGTCATTGAGAAATTATTTGTTCTTGAACTGTATTGCTCTACAGCCTATAGCAAAATTATCCTGATGTAGACTAGGCCTTCATATGCTAACATAATGAGTAAGTCAGAATTGGTATACAGTGAGGTACCTATAAAATGCCCAGGTGAAGTAAAGCAGGTGAGACATTTCTAATACAAAAATCAAGCAGGGAAATCAAAAGTGCCATATACACATGTTTATTAGTATAGAAGTTTTAGATTTTCTTGAAATAAATCACCTTAAAAAAAATACAAAATTTCTAACATATTTGTTGGGAAGAACTCACACAGGAAGGAAAGGAATATTTCATTTGCCCCAGGTAGAAAATATAAGTGAAAGCAAAAATATTCTTAGTTTTTATCTTAAGCCTTGCAAAATTTGCAACAATTGGATAATCCTTTAAGTGCTTTCTTCTATAATATGTTCTCAACTATTTGCTCTGCAGGCAAATGACAGTTATTTCTGGGAATCAGCTAGTGGAGTGTCAGGAGTGCCATAATCTCTACCACCAGGATTGCCACAAACCTCAGGTGACAGACAAGGAAGCGAATGATCCTCGACTTGTATGGTATTGTGCCCGCTGTACCAGGCAGATGAAAAGAATGGTAGGAGTCATTTTTTTTGTCTTGCATGACTCTGTTTGAATACAGCAGGCTATTTCTGATCCATGAGAGTATTTTATGGGTTGCAGAAATCTTTGGAAGCATGTTGGAGAACAATTTTTCTCAGCAGTGTTTCCCTTGCTGCAGCTGTGTTTTTTAATGTAGCATCTCAAAGAGTGTTCTGTAACTTGCGCTTCTTAAACAAAGCTTTTTAAAAAGCAGAAGTTAAGAAGAGTGAAATAGGATTATTTCCTACCTGCTATGCAGCAGTTTAAAACTTCTTTTTTTATTTCAGGTTTTAGTACATGTCTACCAAATAGCCCTACAGGTTTAGTTTTCTTCTCAGCTTTGGACAGGAATGGTTGTTTTCCTGGAAGCCAAGACTGCAAATTTCAGTCCAAATATTAACACTCAACACAAGTGTTCTCAGGCTCAACAACTAGCTGAGGGTAGCACGTTCCAGGAAATAACTTCCTTTATTTTGATTGACCTGTGTGTTAATTTCTTGACTAAACAGACTAATTATTCCTGATCCCACAGGAATCCCACTCATCTCGTGAGAAAAAAACATCAGAGTAAGAAAGCATCTTTGGCTGCAGGAAACATTAACCATTAGTTCACATGACTTTAGTTTTGACACTTTAAAATCAAGCCCTTTATACAGCAGAAAGCATGTTCTGTTTTGGAACTGTTCTATGATAACTTAGCAAATTGTTACCTGTTGAAATGGCTCTACTAAGAAACAAGAGAAGGCATCCATGTAAGATCCTAGCCTGGGAGTTACCATCACTGACTGAAATACATGATTATTCTGATGATCGTCAGGCCTTTGAACTCAGAAGAATGTTTGCCTGAGGTCAGTTACTGCACAGGATAGCCACTGCAGCCATTCAGCGTTTGCCTTCAATATGCCCTTTCCTTTTTTTTCTTTCAGCATAAATTCCACCGTTTTACCTGCCACTTCTTAGCAGACTTTTGCAGCCTACATCTCAGTACTGCTGGATTATGCCCCTGTCTTCCTCAGGATCACTTGTCTTTGCCTTATTTCTGTGAAGGCACAGTGCTTTCCTGCTCCCTACGTGCCAACACTGCCTCTCTTTCCATGCTGAAATAGCGAGTCCTATTCAGTATCTTTTTTTGGATGGACTCCATCCCCAGTACCGTAATCAGCACCACCTCCACGTCCCCTATTCCCTTATTTCTCAGGCACCGTTCAGCTTGAAATTTTATAGGCTGGATTACAGTTTGGTAATGCACCTGCTTTTTGCTAACAGTCAAACCACTGTTTGTTAGTGTTAACCATTGACCAAACAGTCAATGTTGCAGGGCCTATAACTAATTTGTTTTGGGTTTGTTTTGGTTTTTTCCTACCACTTATACAGGCTCAGAAGACACAAAAGCCACCTCAAAAACCAGCTCCTGCAGTGGTTTCAGTTGCACCAGCTGTGAAGGATCCACTGGTCAAGAAGCCAGAAATTAAGTTAAAACCTGAGACCCCAACAACTTTTCTAGCATTTAAGAGAACAGAAGTCAAGGTAATGTAATTTAAATTTTCCAGAGGAAGAGTTTACATTTCAGTGCATATATTATAATTTTTTCAATTATATTCTGTATTTTTAGTTATATTTTATCTTCATAAATGTGTACTAGCAGCCCAGAAAGCCAGTCCTATCTGCATCAAAAGGTTAAGGGAGGTGGTTCTCCCGCTATGCTTAGTTATCATGAGACTCTACCTGAAGTACTGTGTTCAGCTCTGGGGCTCCCAGCATATGATGGACATGAACCTGCTCAAGCAGGTCCAGAGGAGGGCCACAAAGATGATCAGGAGGCTGGAGCACCTCCACTGTGAAGAGAGTTGGGCTTATCGACCCTGGAGAAGAGAAGGCTTCACAGAGACCTTATGGCAGCCTTCTAATACCTACAGGGACCTTACTGGAAAGATGGGGGGGACTCTTTATCAGGGAGTGTAAAGATAGGACAAGGTTTTAAACTGAAAGAGGGTAGATTTAGATTAGATATTAGGAAGAAATTTTTTACTGTGAAGGGGGTGAGGCACTGAAACAGGTTGCCCAGAGAAGTTGTGGATACCCCTGTGGACCCTAGAAGTGTCCAAGGCCAGGTTGGACAGGGCTTTGAGCAACCTGGTCTAGTTTCTTAGTAGTGGCAGGGGGGTGAGAACTAGATGACCTTTAAGGCCCCTCCAACCCAAGCAATTCCATGATTCTATGAATTTCTCTCTGTGGCCCAGTAACATATTCATGTTTTGATACTTTGATAGGTTGAAAGTTTCTCCTCATGATAATAGTGAACAGTGGCAACGCTGGGTTAGCCGTTGGAGTTGTTGATCTTGAAGGTCTTTTCCAGCCTTCATGGATGATTCTGTAATAGGGAAACTAGCTGACTCTAAGATTTAATTTAAGAGGTGTCTGCTTCTTACATATGTTGCCTCATGTTTCTGTTTCTCCAAGTTATTTAATAAATACTGTCACAAATTGGCCAAAGCTGGTAAACCAGAAGCAGTGTAATAAATAGCACAGTAGTCTAACAAAGCATGACTCTTACCTAGGAAAACACATCTTTAACTCAGAATTAAAGCAATTATTCATGTGTTCAAAGTTATGTTTGCCATTGCTCTGCCTGGATGCAAACCATCATGAATAATATGATGGCTATTGCTTAAGCACTTACACTTATGAATAGCTTTTTTCACCTTAGTAGTTATTTATGTGCCTAAATGGGTTGTAAGAGTGAGGCCCAGTTTCATCCGTTATCTTTACTGTTTAGAAGCTGTCTGGATGTATTATGGAAGGAGTATTACTTGAATAGAGGAATTTAATTTCTGCTTTGACTCTGCTGTTTGGCATGACTCTAGTATAGTGTTTCAACTGTGTATTATTCCCACCTGAAAACTGGGGATTAAAAGGTTTAAGGTGTGGAAACTGCAGTTAATGTGTATAGATCTTTGCACAGAAGGAAATAAGTGTTTGCAGTAAGTTTGTCTTCTGCAGTATCTGAATGGGTAGACTACAGGAAAAAGGTCCAGTACCTTTTCAAGTCTATGTATGGTACAGGCTGCTAAGAACCAAGAGGAGGGAAGGGCAGGAATTTAAAAAGTTTAGACATTGCTACTTTGGCCAAAAGGCTAATAAATACAGTACTTAATTGCTCAGTGTCTGAATTTTGCCTGAGCATTGGCCATCTTGTTAAAAAGTGACACTAGGTAATGATGGTAGAAAGAAAATCAAAGGTGGTGGCTTGCCTCCCTTTTTTTACACTTCACAAATTTGGGCTTTTTGTAGTTACTTCAGTTAAACCATCTTTTAGAGTTTATGGGGGGATCACCCATATGGTAGCCTGCTAACTGTATAGAAGAAAGGGAAGAAAATGCAATACTGGCTTTATGTGGCTGGGAAATTAAAAGTTGGCTGTGTCTGGCATCCTTGTCTTGTTAATACTTTTAACTGTAGTGATCAGTGATGAAATCACTGCTGGGTGTTCCTTGGAAAAGACCTGAAACAGAGGCTTGATCTATTCCAGCGGG